CCCCTGAAGAGCTCGTTTTAGAGCAGACCTCAGTGCTACCAGCAGAGGCCCCTCAACAGTAGTCGAGGAGCCTTTGCTCTGGCTCGGCCTGAAGAAGCAGGTGGCCCTAGGGACTCACTTTGGAAGTCTAGGATTGTGTTTTAATGGCCTCGATTTAATATTTTCTAAAAGCACAAATAAGCTCATTATAGGAAAGAAAGTGTAAAATTCAGAAATGTAAAAGTTACCCTTCATCCCAATACTTAGTAGAAAGTACTGCTGGCATTTTGCTACACTTCTTTTGTGGGTGTATTTAAAATTGTCGATCATGCTAGGGGCGCCTGGCTGGCAGAGTTAAGCCTGTGACTCTTCGTCTCGGCTCAGGTCATGATCCCTCTGCTGAGTTTGAGCCCTGAATCGGGCTTCTGTCTCTCCTCTCTGCCCTTACCCCACTTGTGCTCACTCTCTTAAACTTAAATGTCTTTAGATTGTTGATCATGCTACATATATAGCTTAGAAACAGTGAGCAAAACAGAAACTCTTAGTGGTAGACTGGCAGTGCTTTAGAAGTCTCTATGAAGGGGCCGTTGAGGGTTTACCTTGACAGATCCCCCCACTCTTGTGTGGTAGAAAATTAAGCTTTGTCATCTATTTATTACTATAAATAATATCATTATGAGCATCTTGGCACGTAACGCTTTTAAAAAATAGAGAGTTCTGAATTACTTCCTTAGGCTGGACTCTACAAAGTGTTACTCCAGGCCAGAGAATATGAAACTTCTGGAGACTCCAGGTACAACTCACCCTCTTAAAGCAGATAGGAGAGGATGTCCATCTTGCCTCAAACCCACCTGCATCCGGAAGTCTCATTTAAAAAAAACCATCACCAATTTGCTTGATGAAAAATAGATTAAACTCACCCCATTCATTCTGAAAAAACAAACAAACAACAACAAAAAAACAAAACCAAGGGAAGTTCTAGGAGGACCATTTGGTTATAATCGAACAGCCAAGCCAGTAAGGGGGTAGGGGTGCTCCGGAGAAGAGGCTGAAGTGCACTCTGGTCTTTGGCCCTGGAGAGCAGCCAGGGTCAGCTGTGCCCAAACCTGGTTTCCGACTGATGTTCTCACGGCCTGCCCAAGAGGGTAGAGTTAGGAGAGCAAGGGGGAGGTGGGAAGGTCCAGAGGGAAGCAGGGCTTCCCATTTTTCAAGACAGACCTTCTAGAAGAAATCTATCCATAAAGCTCTGCTGATGGCCTGACTCAGCAGCAGGTGTCAGAATCGAAAAGGTGGGGGCCCTTCTGATGAACTTGAGGCTACGTAAGAAACCTACAAGCCTTCAGAAAAGGAAGGGCCTGAGGCCCCAAAGACCATGCTAGGGCTGGTCTTACAGAGCTCATAAAAGTAGATTCCACCTGCTACCTAAAATGTCCCCTGATGGGTCCTCTTTCCCCTCACCTCAAACAGGGCATTGAAAGCATCGATCAGATCGCCAGCCTGTGCCAGTCGGACCTGGAGGCCGTGCGAACAGCAGCCCGGGAAGCCACGCTGTCATTCGGTAAAGTCCACCATCAAACATTCTGTGCGGTGCAGTGAGGTTCGCGACCTTTGGAAGGTTGTGCTAGAGGGGCCACGGTCAGCCCTCAAAGATGCAAAATGATACAGAGGCCCAGCGCGGTCGGTGACCCATGTAACTGCACTTGGCCAAGACAGGTTTCCTTCATGGTTGAGGTGGCATGAAGTGCCTTATTTCTCTTTTCAGCTTCAGTTTATGATCCTTGGGAATGAAAGCCAGGTGCGAGGCAGGAATAAAGTTCAGCAAATTCTGTCTTGAATGTAAGGGAGAGGCACCGGGTCCATCCATGCAAGTGGCCAGCAGGAGCTCCCCAAATGCCACCTGCCTCTGCCACTAAGGCCATCTGGGTTCACCAGAGCAGGAACGCTGAGGTGGGGGACAATCCAGTGACCAATCACCTTAATGTTTCAGGGGAGAAAGGACGCTCAGCTTTTGAGAAGATGGACAAACTCTGCTTGGAACCAAGAGGAGAAGCCTTTTGCCAGGAAGCGGATATTGAAATCACTGTATTTTAAGAAGCCTCAGCTGGCACCTTTGTTTTTGCTGCTGCCTTGCCTTGACCCAGGGCCAGAGCTGTGGGTGGGGGTATGCTCTGTGCTCCCTCAGTCCCCAGACCAGTCACGCAGCCCAGGGGCACAAATGGGACTTTGCATATAGGAGCAGGAAAAGGGGACGTGCGGCACTTTGAAGGCTGTTGGACTTGAGTCAAACGACCAGCTTTCAGTTTTGAGAATCTGTCTGACCTTCCCTGGCCAGCTGCACCCCGAAGGGGCCAAGACCAGGCGGGTTGAGGCCTGGAATCAAGGTCTCCCTGCCGGGTGGCCTGCTCAGCACTGCTGGTTCAATAAAGACGGGCAGTGAAGAGACAAGCGGGCTGACTGACCTTGCTAAAGAGGACGCAGTGGGTCATTTCCATGGCAGCAAGCCGTCACCTTGGCAAGCCAGGCAAGGTGGGAAGACAGACAGAGCCAGGGTTTCCGTGATTCATGCTCTTAACCCAAGCAGTAGTCCAAACGCCCCCGTGGAGCCTGGTGGCGGCCTGCAGACCGTGGACCTTATCGTCACTGTGTTCAACAGCACGAGGAAGAAAACGTCATTGGCCAGGAAACCTTGTGTCGTGTCAGTAAAAGCATCCACCGTGACCTCCCTCATCAAAATGGAATCGAACTTTTGAACGGAAGTCAACTTAGGGCCGATTAGATAAATTGTGTCAGAAGCCATCATCCGGTTTGAAGAAAGATTTCACTGAAGAATATATTTAAAGAAAGAAGATTCGTTTCTTATTTAAGTCTGTTAAAAAAAAAAACAAAACCCTCAAATGTGTCCTGAACTGTTTTTGTGTTGAGCCGTAGAGACAACCTGGGGTACGTGACTCCTGACAATGGCAGTGGGGATTCTGGACTCTTCAACCTTCTCATGTAAACTTCCTGTATATATTCTGTGCTTTTCGGTTGAACTTTGTATTTATTTGCCTTGTTCCTATGTTCAGTTTTTTGAATTTCAATTAAAATGAATTTTATTGGTGTCTCACCTTACCTGAAAAAAGCACAAAGCAGTGGTTGCTTCCACAAACCTCCCAGGGAGGAAGAGAGCAGCCCCTCCTGCACCGCGTGCAGCCCCTCCTGCACCGCGTGCAGCCCCGTGGGCCGGGTTCTCCCGCACAAGCAGGTGAGGAGGGAGGTGGGGGCTGGGGCCCCCTATGTCCCCCGTGCGGCAGAAGGCTCCCTGAGCGCCCGCTCCTACACGGACACTGAGCCGCGTGGCCCTTCCTTGTCCAGCCTTTGGCCTCATGTGATTTCTGCACCAAAGTTACAGATTCAGCTTTTTTCCCTACCCTCGCATCCCACCGCTTCATGACAGCTTTGATGCCATTTTTGCATCTGAAACAGACTGAGGTGACAGTGGGTGTGACACCACAGTCCCGTGGCCACAGTCCTCTGTGGGTGTGCTGCAGGTCACATGACCATCGTCTGTTTTTACCCCCCAGTCCCGTGGATCCTGCTGGGAGCCCACAGCACGAACCGTTTACTCAGCAGCAGGCATCCAGTCATACAACCTCGAAGGACAGGGAATTCTCGAACGATTTTTGCAATATTTTACCAACATCTTAGGAGTCTGAAGTTACTTCGCAACAGAAAGTCAACAGATCACTTTCGAGGAGATTTAAAGGCAGACCACATACATGAGTTTTCCATCCCGTTGCCTCTGCGTCACCCGTCCGTCACGCGTGGCTCACCAGAGGCACTGGAAGTGGTAACCGCTGGGTCTCCCAGGCAGCCGGACAGGGGACGCGTTCTTGAGCAGGTCCTGTGCACGTCTGCCATGGTAGCCAGGGGCCTGCACATTCAAAAGGTGGGTGGTGTCGCTGTCGAAGCAGCCGGGCGGAGGCCCGAAGTGCCAAATAAACTCGCCAGGAAGGGAACGTTCCCCCAGCCCAATGGCGCGCACAACCCCGGGAGGCCACAGTGACCCTTGGCCACCCAACCCACAGCACCTGCTTCCCACGGGCGGCAGCAGAAAAGAAACAGGAGGTACCCGTCCTGCTTCGGGCCCCTTAAACAAAGGCATGGGAGGCACCCCAAATCCATGTTCTTTAGAAAAAAAAATTTATTGTTGCAACTAAAACGCAAACCCATCATTTATATGGCAAGTTGGAAAACTGTACAGTCTGATAGTTCTGTGAGGTCACAGGACCCTGAGATGCGCCCCCTCCCTCCCCCTATCATGCAGCCGTGTATACACACACCTGAAAAGGTATTTTACCAGAACGCCTCGCTGTTTTCGTTTGTTTTTATTTTCGTACAAATGGTTTATTCCACGGCCATTGTAAAAAATAATGACCTGATGCGTAAATATTGACTTAAGGCATATAGCAGAGCAGCTCGCTACTTCTCTAACATACGTGTAACAAGATGGAGAGCCATCTGGTTTCCAAGGACAGGAGCTTAAACCAGTTCATCCACTTTGAAATGCTACTATATACACACCCAAACTACTGCACACATATACAGGACTTTAAAAACAAACACACAAGCCCAACTCAAAAATGCCGACAGCCTGGCATCTCAGCCTCACCCGCACCTCTCCAAGGCTCTGCACAGTGATGCCGCAAACGTTGCCACCACAGAATTTCTCTGCACGGGCTTCTAACACGTGAAAGGCAACACGTGAAAATGCTGGCGAATGAGCAGCTCGTGAGCTACAGCTGCCTTGTTTTTTGTTTGTTTTTTTGTTTTGTTTTGTTTTTCTTCTTCTTCTTGTTTAAAAAAGCCACTTAACGTGGAGGTCTTAAGTTCCCTTGCAGAAGAGTCGTGAGCACCATCAGTCCCCAGGGTTCAAGGGCGGGGGCAGACGTGGCTCTCAGCAAGGCCCCTGGACCGGGACGGCGGCAGGTGGACTCCGAGGGCCCGACACCCGGGTTGCTTCAGGAAGTGCGGTTTCCAGCAGTTGCCTTGGTTCCGAATCATGGTCTGCTCGAGAAGAGCGTCAACTTCTAACAGTGGAGGCTGATCCCCAAGGTGTCGGGGAGGGGGGGGGCGGGGGGGGGGGACGGGACCGTGCTTGCCTAAACGTCCAGAGCGTGAGGTGGGACTATGGCTTCCCATACCCCTGGAATGTCTGAGTTACAGCGGGACCCAGCTGGACAAGGACAGGCCGGGGCCTCACCAGGAAGTCACCAGAGTGCCATGCCAGGTATTAGGCAAATATCCGTTACTGGAAAACATCACCCCGTTGCGGAATGGTGATTATTTCAGCAACAGCCTTAGGAACCACAGCCACGTAATGATCAGGTCATGCAAAGGTAGACTGGACTTGTACACAGGGCACATTAATAAGCAGAGAGCTAAGTATTTCAAGCACGTGGTACTGGATCAGGACACAAGACGACCATACATGCATATTCTAATACACACAGGGAAAGCAGTGATTGAGGACAAGGTTCTAGCAGATAACTGGGAGGGGGTAACTGGGACAAAGTAATCTCACACCACGTATCTTAAATATCCAAGTGTTCGTTATATATTATCCCATGTCCTATAAACATATGCCAAACCTCTTCTCACGTTACCCACAATGCCACGAAATACGACTGCTTACAACCGTCCTCCTTCCTAGTACTGGTCTGACGCAGCAGGCTCATGGCAAAATCTAACGTTCCCAGCACTACCTGAGGGTTCATTATTGTACTTTTTGATAAAGCCCTTGATGCAAGGCTGACATCAAAAGTTCTTAATACATTATTGGTTTAAGAAAATGCTAGTGCACTACGGACGCCTTTGGGGAAAAAACCAAACAATAAATACGGAGTGGAGTCTCCGCAGAGGTCCGCGGGAGGACAGCGTATGCCTGCCCACCCGGACGCGCCGGCCACGCCGAGAGCACGCACCGGGCAGGGCGAGCCTCGCGATCCGCACAGGCCACCAGCCCCATACTCTCCTTCGTTCTCCTCAAAAAAAGGGGTTGCGGATTTGGTGCTCGAAGGAAAGGGAGGGGGGACACCGTCAAAAGGGGTAAGACCAACAGCCCGGGGAGGGTGGTTCTAGTGCAGAACAAACGTCCGTCCAGGTCACGGCCGGCTACGCTGTCCTCGGCCCTTACCTACCACGGCGTGCCTGCTAGGCGGGCGCGGGCTCTACGCACGGAGGCGGACAGTGGGGTGGAGGTGGAGTGGAGGAGATTATGTGCTGCTGCTGAACAGGAACTGGAATGAAACCAAACATTTTCAGATGAGCCCGGCCCCACCCCCACGGAGCTGCAGAGCCCTGCACGACCCCGGCCGCCCCAGGCCGCCCCCCCGCCGCCACGCCACCGCCCCCAAGCTGGCCTCCAGGGAAGGGGGTTTCGATTTTCTTTTACAATGGCCCCCTTCCCAAAATCACCCCTAAGGGAAAAAATGGCTTGCACGTTGCTAAACCGTCTGATCTACTCAAAGACGGTCGCTGGGAAAGAGGATGTTTAAAAGGATTTAAAAGTGTCTAGGGAGGTGATTTCCAGGAGCAGTGTCTTGAGGCCAATCCTCCCTCCTCCCCTCACTTTATATTCCGAAGGAAGTGGAAATTGCTCCTTCTGGATCTCAAGGGCAGGGTGCAAAGCTGGTGGCCACCTTGCTGTGACCTCTGACCCTGAGGCAGGGGCCTTGAGAAACCCCGTCTATGGAGGTGGGGTGACGAGGGCGGAGCATGACCCAGATGGCTGGAACAAGAAGGGATCAACGGAGAAATGAACAATGGAAAACCGGCGGGGACACCCTGAGCAAAAGCAGAAGCTGGGTTTTGTTTTCCAGAGATGGCCTTTTGTTGTTTGTCTTCTTACGACAGGAAAGCTCGCGGGCACCGTCCAAGCTCAGTATGCACACAGCGGAGGAAGCGACTGAGCAAGATAGTGCCCTAAACCCTTAAACCCTCTTCTCCAAAGGAGTTTACATTCGGAAAAGTGTGGGAGACTTTCCCTGGAAATCAAATATAAACTGTGTATCTGGTTACACCACCTAAGGGTACAAGAAAGTTTTGTAAGTGCCTAGTCTCTTTTTTTTTCCAGAAATAACAAAAGCTGCTTTTTATAAAGGTTAAAAACAACAATGTGTTGTAATTCTATTTTTTTTCAAAAACAAATAACACAAAAAAAAAAAAAAAAAAAAAAAAAAAAAAAAAAAAAAAAAAAAAAAGAGAGAGAGAGAGACAGAGAGAGAGACAGAGAGAGAGAGAAAGAGAGACACGTATTTGGCATTTTCTCTACTTACTCCTGAATAGGTTAAGGCCCTGAGATTAGACTCATATATTCTTGGGACCACAGGGCTCCTTAAAACCCCAGTGCATCAATCCTCAATTCTCTCGTTAGCCCTTCACAGTTCCAGACTTTAAAAACCTTTGCTGTTTCTTCTGAGACTGGCTCAGATCCTTCCACAGCACTGAATGCTAACGCCGGGCTGTCGGCCAGTGCTTTCTGTACACGAGGTCTTGCCAGCACGTCCATCAGTGAAAACATACCCTGTAGCAGAGGTACGCGCCGGCCGTGAGGACCGTGGCCATGCACATGTTGACCAGGAAGGGCTTCCAGGGAGTCAGCGCCTGGTCCTGCTCCTCCTTGGGTGGTGATGGCTCCCCCTGGGCAGGACCTGCCCCCATGACCCGCCTTCTGACTTCAGTGTCTGGACTCGTGCTGAGGGAGGAGAGGGACGGAGACTGGTTACTCACTCTAGGGAAAACGATGCCGAGGACGCTATTGTGACAGTTGGAATTCTAAGAAAAAACGAGCCATGTGTAAAGAAACCTTGGCGACGGGGACGCCGACCTGAAGCCCACTTGGCACCCCCACAGCCACCCCCCCAGAGACCCAGGCGGTCTCCATCGCCAAGGTATGGTTCCGGAGACCAGT